CTGCATTTTTCTCCTTTATTAGCATAACTACAGGAAATTCTAAATGATAGATTTCGTGTTGCAGGTTTTATGCATTAAGACCAAAGGAGGGTCTCGAGGAGCTTCCCCAGTGCTGGACCTTGGACAAAGTGTGCTCTGAACTCAGCCCCTTCCGTGGTGTTTGTTATCAAGGCTGTGAGATCACCCAGGGCACTGAGTCTGTGTGAAGTGCTCTGGTTGTCCATCCTCTCTGTGGCCTTACAATAGGAGCAATTTAGGCACAGAGTGTGTCCCAGGCTACCTGGAGCATCTTACATCTGCATTCCCAATGACAGGTGCTGTCAGGATCTGGCAGTATTTACCCTACCTGCTGTGCTGAGAATCACACTGAAGAAATGCACAGCTCTGTCACTGCTAAGTGGGTTGTCACTCTCCATCCCAGCATGGGCACTTAATGCATCAAATATCGTTGGCATGCACGAAGTCCATGGCTCCTGTTGGAATCATTTATTGCTGTGGTTTTCCTGCTTGTTCTCCTCAGCTGCTCTCAGCAGGGAATGACTGGGCATCTGCTGGTGGAAGGAGAAGCTTCCTAAGCTGTGGCTTCACCTGTAGCTGACTGGCTGGCTGTGTGTGCACATCAGTGGATACCAGGCAGGAGGCAGCTCCTCTGGGTGCCCAAGCACTGCTGGCCCCTCTTGCACCCCACTGCTGCTTTGCCTGGCTGCTTTTTGACCAAACACGTGAGCTCCTTGTGTCAGGATGCAAAGTTCTTCAAAGCATCAGTGTGGTCTAAAGGCTGTGTTGAACTTTCCATGTAGGCATTTGTTAGTTAAATACATAACTTTGTATAAAAGACCACAGTAACTTATTCAACAATATTACTTACATGCAGCTTAGATCAAAACCTGGCTGCCAGAAGTTGAAAGTCAATGTAAAGACAGAGATATGCTGTTTTATTACATCAGTAAAAAAATAGCTAGATTCTACTCTAGCAGGGGCTACAGGCTGGAGATTGACACAGAAGAATAAAATAGCTGGGAATAAATTTTATGTAGCCATTTTCTTTCTCCCTCAAATGTGAATGCTTATGCAAAACACATTGCTGTAGATTCACTGACAATAAAGAGGGAATCATTATACGGGTAGTGGATTCTCAGGGGAACACTTTAGCCAAAACACACTCTGCAATAATTTCCTACATCTTAGTTGAATAAATTAATTTATGAATTTTCCATGAATATGTTCAACCATTTCTCCCCTCATATATTTTATTGATCTCCATATACATTTAACAACAAATAACAGAGCTACTTTTCCATTTGCAGTAAAATAGTTTAGAGATGTTTATGTGGGCCTTGGGGTTCATAGTAAACAAATGCAGCTCAGACACCAGGGAGGTAGCAGAGAAACATGAAGCTTGGCAGGGCTCAAGGAGCTGTACTAGAAGAGCTTAGCACAGACAAGGCCCATCCAATCATACCACCAGCAAGATGGGTTCTCTAAAGTCAGAGGCACTAGCCCCAAACTGTGGGACTGCTCCCAGTGAGTCCTGTGTAGAGTAGCAAGGAGCTTCATGGCTCATGTCTGCAGAAATTGTAATGTCTCTTCATTGCTAAATACTAATAGGTTGGATTATTGCCTCATTTATTATGTTTTGTCCTGTACTGTGTATCTTATTTTCCTGTGAGAAGGAGATGAGGATGGCTAAAAGAAGGTATTTGATTTTTCTCCACAAAAATAGAAATGCAGTGTCAGATGTTTATGTGGGCCTTGGGGTTCATAGTAAACAAATGCAGCTCAGACACCAGGGAGGTAGCAGAGAGACATGAAGCTTGGCAGAGCTTAGCACAGACAAGGCCCATCCAATCATACCACCAGCAAGATGGGTTCTCTGAAGTCAGAGGCACCAACTGTGGGACTGCTCCCAGTGAGTCCTGTGTAGAGTAGCAAGGAGCTTCATGGCTCATGTCTGCAGAAATTGTAATGTCTCTTCATTGCTAAATACTAATAGGTTGGATTATCGCCTCATTTATTATGTTTTGTCCTGTACTGTGTATCTTATTTTCCTGTGAGAAGGAGATGAGGATGGCTAAAAGAAGGTATTTGATTTTTCTCCACAAAAATAGAAATGCAGTGTCCATGGTCTGGGTAAACCAACAGGCTCCTTCTGTAGATCAAGTGGCAGAGTCATCCAAAAGCTTCACTATTGACCCACAAGATATCTTCTATGGCCACTCTGCCTCTGAATATCACTTAATTTAACTTGGGCAATGTCGTTAATCCAAAGCTGAGCTACTCATGTAGTTTTTTACAGTAAGTGCACTATCACATGGAAAGTATGATACCTCCATGGTTTTCCTTCAAGAAAGGAAAAACAGTGACATGCAGTGATTAATGTTGAGAAGTAATCAGTATTATCCTCATTTAATATGTAAAACAAAGGAGTTCTATTATCCTTTCCCAATACTAAGCTGCCACCCCAGTTCTATATATATGCAAACCAACATCTTTAACCAGTTGGGTTGGAATATGTGGCAAAATTTACTCACATGACTGCACCATTGTGATCTTCAAGTTTAGCTCTCCTTGCTTCACACATTCAGATCACAGAGACAGCCCTTTTAAAGTAGTTTCCTTTTTTATCATTATTTTTGAGCTTTTTGGTTGTGATTTTTATCAATCTCAAGCTTAGGAAAAACCTACCTTGCTGTTTCTAAGTGTAAAACTTTCTCCTAACTGCACGTAATGGGCTTAAAATAGGCCTTACCATCTTAAAGGTGATATTTGAATTATAATTGCTAATGCTTAGATACAGGATTAACATTTAGTACACATAATAAAATACAGAACTGGTGTTCTGTAGGGGTTAAATGACCAGCTCGAGCTGCAGGAAGGTTTGTGCCTGTGTTCTCAGCAACACTGACTATCAGAGGACTTTGCACAACTCGTTGCCTTTAGAACTGTGCGTTCAGAGAGTGTTCTCCTCTTCTCCTTTCCTTCTGATGTGCTTCCTCTTGTGTTCACATTCTGTCCAAGCAGCATAGATTAAGCAGCTGTGTTTATGAAGCAAACAGATGAGAAAGGAGGACTTGTGTTGCCTTCAGTCCTGTAAGGCAGCAGTGAGAGCCAGTGAAGCTCGCAGGCGTGTGCGTGTGGCCGTGCGTTTTCTGAATCGGAAGGGCAGAACATCACAGGGAGCGTGCAACCATCAGGGTGCACTGAAGTTCAGAATGGCTGGGAGATAATGTCAACAGAATAGGATGTAGGCACTGGATAATGGTCCCCTGCTGCTAGATTAAAGCCTGGGCAAGGATGAGCCCTTTTAACACAAACAAACAGAGGCAAAGCCAAGATATTTGCAGTACTTTCAAAGCAGGAGGCATTTATCTTGTAACAACATCCTGTGCTCTTCTCTTGGCTTCCACTGTACCAAAATAACAGAAGAAAATACTGTGATTTTTATTTTTTTCATCAGAGACTGTTGCTAGATGAGCTCCAGTTGCCCACTGCATCCTCGCTGGGTAACACTGTGCTCTTATGCTGTGTGTCCTTCAGCCTTCAAACAAAGCTTCACGTCTCAAACCCCGTGGTGTAAGCGTGCTGGCCTTCTTTTAAAGGAAGTCATCTAAAATAAAACTCAGACTTATCAAAGGGATTTTACAGCCCAGCGTTCCAAATTTCCCCTGGCAGGAGGCAGTCTCTACAGGGAGGAGCACTGCAGTCAAAACTCCTCCAGTCAAAACTCCTCCTTGCATTAAAAGCCCTCGGATTCTGATCTGGTAAAGTCAGTGCTTGAAGAAGACAGAAGAAATGGAACTGAATTCAGTTCATTAGGTATCAAGCCAAAGAGAACGTCTTGCACAGTTTTGTTTCTGGTTTTTTGTGCTGTTTTGTTTTACTCCATCAGTGAGTCAGTCCAGTCTCCAGCAATTGTGCTGTTGGGCTGTCTGGGAAAATGCCCTCGGGGCAGTAGCTGCAGAGAGGACAAGACACAGGCATGAAGCAAGGAGAGGGAATATATAAAACATATGCAGCGCAAACAGCAAAGGCTATGAATAGTCAGTGTGTTATAAATCAGGGCTTTTTAAGTAGCACACTTTTGCAGTCTTAATTCTCCTGAGTTGTCTCATTCGTCCAATGCTGCACATGTCCTGCTGTCCTTAAATGGCTGGAACGCAGTGACTGTCAAGAGGTGCTGTAAATCCCATCTGCTGAGGTTTTAGGGAAGGAGAAGGAACAAGTAACAATATGCAGATACAGAGAACTGTACCATACTGCTCGTGGTTTAACCTTCACTCTTCAGTTTTATGATTTTGTTGTATTTCTGGAGTTGATTGCAGGATAAATGGCTATTTTTAGGGATGGTGCCGTTAGTGGTTAAGGCAATTTATAGTTATTGGTAGGAGTCATTTAGAATTTCCTCCTTGTTCAGAGAAGCTGATGTGTTGAAGGGCCAGTCTCATCAGCTGATGAGCTCTTTTCTGCCAGTTCTTACTATTGTGAGGACTGGTGTCTTTTCATGGATGTTATTCAGACCCAGCTCACTGCTGCAGTGGAAGTTGAGAGCTCCCTGCTCCACAAAAGACCAAAGTAATAAATCCATAGTGGTACTGGTGATAGATAGCATGACTTCACTTCTGAAATGGTAATGCAGCACAGGGGGCACGTGGGGTTTGCATTTTCTTCCCAGCTTTGCCACTGATCTCTTTCTTAGGTGACCTGGAAGAAATTGTTTCAACTTCCTATGCTGCAGATTCCATATATTTAAGTAGAGGATAGTAACAACACTTTATGAGACACGTTTAGCAGTGTTGTGCAAAACTCTGCATAGGAAATAGCTATTATTGTTGTTATCTGTTATAATAAAAACAATGGTATTTTCAATAGAGACTGAAGCTTTGCAATCTGTCCAATGCCATTACTGCTAAATGCAATTTCTCTTTTAATCCACAGCTGCTGCTTTTTATATCTTGTCCTAATTCAAAACATATTCTTGCTTTCTTTTTTTGTGATTCTAGTGCAAGTTGGAGTTTCATGCATGTACTTCTGGCAAAACCATTACAGCTCGATGTGAAGGGCCCTGCCCCTGCCTTCCAGGACCTGAAAGTTCAAAGCACAAGACAGAGAAGACTGGTAAGTTGAGCTTCTAATAGAGTTATAGTAGATTAATAGGTTTCTGCTTTGTTCTTAAGAAATGCTTTCTTACATTTTTCTATCTAGTAGACTTTATTTGTGATGCTTTCTGAGAAAGTGAAGGTACAACTAATTATTTTCTAAAGACATAGTGCTATCAGACATCTTGGTTGCTGCAAAACTAACACCCACTTGAGAGAGTCTCTTAGGAGAACAGTTCTGGCTAACGATTCTCATTTTTGAGTGCAGATATTTTGAATGAAAACATTGAATCATCATAAAAGAAGATATAAAAGAAAAAATACTACTTGGTGGTTCATCAATTTGTAAGCTGAAAATAATAATCAGTAGCCTGTATGTTAGCTGAAAAGTCATTTAAAGTCACACATATATATTACATGGGATCGGAATTATCGTTTTAATCTTTATTGTTATTAACATTATCATTAGAAGTCAAATATAGATTAAGTAGATCTACATATCTGTATTTATATATGAGGTTATTTCAACAACAAGCTTCTTGAAAATGATGTTATGTAAGACTGAAGGCTGGAGTCTCAGCACAAATGGCCATTTTCCCTGCCAGCTCTCCTGTGAGTTCTCTATTTAGGTCTGAAAGGCTGGTGAGCTAATTTACTCCCGGAGGCTTTTTCCAATGAAGTAAGCACAAGCTGTCTCAGAGTGACCTCATCCAAAGGGAATTAGCTCTTGCTAAAGAGACTGACTGAAAGCAGAAGTCCGGCAGCAAGGCAAGTGCCACAGCCAGGTTCTGTCTGAGAGTTTCCACCCTGCTATGGGGAAAGGCCTGAGAAGGGAGAAGAGTTGTTAGTTGTGGCTATGGTTTCTTGGTATGAGAATGGATGTGCTGGTGAGAGCACCTGTGGCAAGATGAATAACAACCTGGTTTTAAGTACAGGGTCGTCTCCTGTCTCTTAGGAGGAGTGCCAAGGGGGTTAACTCACAGACAGCTGCTGGGCTCCCATCTGTATGAGAAGCTCACAAAGCCAAAGTGGTGACTTAGGGTTTGCTCTGTCACATTAAGCAGTGAACTGTGTTTGTTTGCCTTGTGCACCACATGGAGTATAAAACCAACAAAGCTTTAACACCAGTCTGACTCAAAGTATTTAAGAACCTTTCTCACTATGGACGTGTTCTGACAGTAGCAGGCACAAAAACAGGAAAAAAAAACAAGTTTAAGCAACACTTAGTCTAGTTAGCTCAGCTGAAAACACTGCTGGTCCTGCTCATGGTGTTCCACAAACTGTATCCTCTAGCAGAGTTTTCACACTGGGCGTCCATCCACTTTCTAGAACAAGAAGTGATTCTCCAACCTAAATTTTGAAAATCGAGGTTTATTCCGTCTTTTGTAAATCACAGATATTTTTTCTGCATAGGCACCAAATGTAAATGAAGCATTTCAGATGGCATGGTTCTGAAATCAATATATAATTGCAATATTGCTTTATGTGGCTTGGATCTTTTGATTACAGTATACCCACAAATAAATTGCCTTCTTCATACTTTCTATTTCTTGTAGCCCTTATCAGGCTACAAGAAATATTTCTTTGTCTTTGCCATTTCTGTTTCTTTGCCCTTATCAGAAAGAGTATCAGGTTAATAAATCTTCAGTGACATTTTAAGCTTACGATTTCATTCACAGAAGAGGGAAAAGATTCTAATAACCCTTATCTTGATAAATGCAATTTGACAGGTTATATGTATTCTGAAACCCAGGCTTTTGTTTTGCTTGACTCAAAACTTTAACTTCAGCCAACGAAGCATTAATTTAACGGATTGGGTGATCTGCAGAGCAACTTTCCTGCAGGCTTTTTCAAGAGGCCAAACTTCAGCTAATGGTGCTCCTGCCATTGCCCTGGTGACAAGGATGTTAAGTGCTTTAATTCTGCCATCTACAGTATAGTATTCTGTTTTATCACTGTCTCTTTCTTTCTGGGGTTAGTTGCTGAAATGCCCACAAAAGGATTTGGTGTTGAGAATCAAATAGTCAAGAGCAAATGGGCTTTCTCACTTGCTTTATCTTAAATTTTCTTCTGGAGCTTTAAGTATGCCAGTAAGGTGACAATTATGGACTTTCTTTAACTTGCTTCCTCACTCTTCTTCTTCAGACACTTGTTTTCAGTTAACCAACTGAGTGTAATGAACATTTCAGAGTTTGTCAGTCTTCTAACAAAGATCTCCCAAGAGTTTCCATAAGAGAAGATTAGTAAATCCTGTATACCTGTATAAATTTTACTCAGGTACAATTTTAGCAGCATCTGAAGAGAGATTTGATGTTGTGTGTGTCTGCCCTTCCTGGCCTGGAAGCCAGCCAGTTTCTTCAGGTTTATGGGAGAATTATGAATTCCAATTGCTGATCACAAAAAAAATTTCTATATTACTGCCTGTCCTAAGATTCCTTTATTTGCTCAACAAGTAGTGTCCACCTGGATGTGCAGAAATAAGCCCTGAGTAGTATCTGAGGCAACGTGTGCACAGGGCAGAGTGTGACAGTCCCCTGAAGCACTTGAGTGATCTCCCTTTCATCAGGTCTTCAGACCTCTGAGTGTGGAGCTTCTGACTAGCGTTTTGGTTACTTGGCACCTTAGTGTTTTCTCTAGTCTTCACACAATTATTTTATTTTTCTCATATGGTCTGATAGTATCATTACCATTGCTGAATTGGGTATAGAAATCAGTAATTTGATTTCTCATATAAAAATTTGCATAGAAGAATTGTATAAGCAGCTGGGACTCGGTTTCTGCTCCTTATTTAGTTGCCAGGTTTGTGATATCCATTCAAATACTGCATAATCTTAAGTAGAAAATGATAGAGAGCTAAACCTCATGCCTCATACAGACATGTCAGTGGAAAAATACTAAGGAGAATTACAGTGCAATTGCTTCCAGCCAAATGGAAATGCAGCTCTTAGAGCTACCGCATAAACTTTTTTATGCCTATTATGCAACAAGGTTAAATGTATGTGGTTGGGAACTTCCAGCTCTAAGACAGTTTGTGTTAATCTTTACACATTCATTCAATCATATTCAAATATTGTTCTGTAATAAATTATTTTCAGAAATTAAAAATGTAAAGGAACGTTTAATTTCCAGCCTACTTTAATTGTAAATGTCATGACCTTTTTTTATATGCTTGTGAATAAAACTGGCAGCAGCATCAAAGAAAAGCAATCTAAGTGTATGTGCTTGGAGGTAACAATTGACTGCAGTGTCTGACTCCCATCCCTTCCTCCTCCCTGGGCTCCTTCAAAAACATCTCTGCTTTGAGGATGAAAATCAGGACTAATAATCGTTAAAAAATGGAATTCCTTTTTATGGTGCTAACTGGTACTATGGAGACTCTCATAAAATGACACAAGTGCTAGCAAAAGAAAACTACACCAGAATTATTACCTTTAATGGCAAATAACAACAATAAAGTCTTTATGGTAGAAAGTTAAAATCTTAGAGGAGATGGCAGGATCATGTTCTTCATTTTCTTAAATGGAATTTTTAGTCAGAGTCTGAGAGGTAGAAAACAGGACCCTGGGAGGGTTGTGATGGAAGACTGGAGAAGACAAGCCCTAACACTTTTCCTCTTTTATTTTTGAGGCCCATTTAGATTCCTTTTGTTTATCAAAACACTTGTTATTCTTCATTATTCACAGCAGTATCCCAGCTTTACAATATGCTTCCATGATAGCCACTGATTTTCAGTTTGGCTACCCAGAGACAAAGGTTGAGGTGTAACCTGCCCTGAGGTTAGCTGCCCTTTCAGAGCACATGTGCCCTTTTTATCTAATACTATAAAATTAATAAGGCTATAATTTCAACAAAAAGAGAAAAAAAAAAAAAAAAAAGGATGGGTGGCTGGCTCTTAGTCTTATCTAGTTAAGACAGAGTCCTTTTTGCTCATGGTTTTCAGCTACCTCTTCCCAAAAGCTCTGTAATATTATGGCCTCAAGTTGTGCCAGGGAAGGTTTATGTAGGACATTATGAAAAACTTCTTCAGCTGAAGGTTTTTTAAGCACTGGAAGCAGCTGCCCAGGGGAGTGGTGGAGTCCCTGTCCCTGGAGAGATTTAAAAGACATGTGGATGTGGTGCTGAGGAACATGGTTTAGAGGTGGAGTTGGCAGTGCTGGGTTAACAGTCTGACTGGATGATCTCATAAGTCTTTTCCAACGGTTCTGTGATTAACTAGAGTTCTCATCAAGCATAACTTATTTTTATGCTAGCTGAAGCTTCTAAAACTCCTCCAGAAACAAAGGACTTCAGATGAGACACAACCATTGTTTTTTTCAGTACCTACTAGCAAGGGAAAGGAATTTTCCCTTGAATGTGTAGTTCATTCTATCAAAAAAGACAACATTGTGCAATGCTTGCTGCAGCTCTTAGAGAATGTGAGTTTGTAGTTGCAAGAGAATGGTTGTTGGTTTCCCCCATACCCACGTGACTCCTGTTACGTGTGTTAGCTGTGGGTAAATGTTTAACAGCATGTCAGGGCTCTTTCTAACCATACCCTTCTTTTGTGTTTTCTAAGAAGCTGAGTGCTGTACTCCCAACATTCTAGTCTTGATTTGTTGCCATCAGGGTTGCAGAGCCACTGGAGCATGAATGGATGCAGTAATTCAAAGTAGGTTTATCCCTATCTGTGCACTGTGGGTTTTTTTGACCTTGCAGAAATGCCCAAGGCAACTTTGAAGAAAACCCTATTATCTTGATAAGGGAAATGTGAGGTCAATAGGCAGAAGCAAATATATTCAATTATACTGAGTGTTGTTTAAATTTCTAAAGAGAACCAAGAGAACATTTTTAAGTCGCAGAATAGGTCTTGGCAAGTTCAATCAAGAATCTACCTTGGTTAGGGTATAGTTTAGGATATGAAGTGTAGCATTTAACTGCCAGACCTATTGGGTGTGCTGGATGAGAAGATCTAATGTTCTGCTCCTTTATAAAAAGAGCACTTGGTGCATGAAGTTCATTCAAAGAAATCACAGTCTTGTT